TTAAATATTTTAATATACATACAAAAATTAAAATACCAACAAATATAAAAATTATAAAAACAAAAATATTTAAATTTAATAGGACCTTTAGGTAAAATTAATTTAAACATAATCAATTCAATTTCTATTTTTTTAATAAAAATATTCTATTACATTTAACAATTGCCCAAAACTGTCCAGAAAAACGATCCATCACTTTAATTCGTTGCCACTATCAAGAATCCGCATCCGCGGCATATTGTGAAGTGTCCTTGATTGGAAGCAGTGAGTTCAGTGATGATTTTGTTTTTCTCGTAACTTGTTTACTGAGCCACTACGTCGGATTCGTTTGCGCTAAGACGAGGATCAATGTCCAATGATACTGTTTACCTGTGATAGTAATAAATGTCCATCAATATCTCTCAATGGCATGAGGTGTTATGGACATTTTTCAGAGCAACACATGTCTGAAAATGGAGATCAAAATTCTACCGTATTAAAATTGGGCAGCTCAGGGACGACCGCTATGCATTTAGTCTGCACGAGTGCGTCAAGAATGGAGGAAGGTGAGTCGTCCTCGGGCTCGTCGTCGCGCTGCTGTCCTTCCTGGTTTGTAGGCTGTTGAGGACGGCATAGTGAGCAAGAGAAAAGGAGAAATGAATAAAGTGATAATGATTTGTGAAGCATTTTTGGCGTAATTGACTGCTTGTGTTTGGCGCTATTGAATTGCTACAGGTCTGCAAGAAATACGATGGCAGGTTACCTTTCAATTGTACTTCAAGTTGTGAATTGGAGCTTGTGCGATTTCGTTGGTGACGAGCGTTCTCCTAATTCATTTCGCGATGGCACACTTGATCAACCAATTCTGGAAGTAGTAGTGAGATGTTACCAACAACAAGTGAACTGGCAGCGCCTGACTATGACGAAATAATGATTTTGAAGCACAAATTGTGCAATTGCAAAGCGTATGACTTTGGTAAAAAACTCACTGACCGGGTTTGAGGTCTAATAGGATGAATTTACGAAACACCAAACCCTCAAAGTATATTGCAGCAAAGCAGCTGAAAGGGGATCGCACCCTTGCAAACTACTGCGTCAAGCGGGAGAGGGGTGTCCATGCCTACTCAAAATTGCAGTTGAAAGGGATGATCGAGTACACTTATATAATGCAAAGGCCTACAGTGATTATCAACATGCTACATTACTCACCCTCGTGTGTCATCTATGTGGTTAAATGAGTATATTACACTATTTAAAGTGCTCCTTAATGCCATGTGTCGCCTTCACAAATACCTTCCTTTCAGGGTACCGCTACGACTATTTTGACGCGCCGGCTGTGGCCCAGGGCGGTGGTAATTCTTCAGATGTTTTTGTCATTCCGACGCTTCATACTTCGTGCTTCGGCCGAACTTCTTCGAAGTTCTGTCCTCGTATTCGTACGCTGCTCATTTATCCGGATCCGCAGGGAGGTTTTGGAGTTCTTCCATCCCAGGAAAAACTCCATCTATGTGGAAACACCACCGACATCTGCATAGTCCCCACGAAAAGCTTGTACATTAACGCTGGTGGAAAAATATTGCTGAGCCTGGATGCACGAAGACAAGTGAAGCGCAATGCTTGTCAATCCCCCCCGACAGCGATCTTGCGACTTGCCTTGTCCTCTCCTTTGCTGTGGCTCTGATTGCCCATGGGCATTGTCATCTTCTTTGGTGGATAACTTCCGGAACTAGCGACCAACGCATCAAGTTGGGTTTGCACCCAACTCGAATTGCTGGAAACACCAAGTGTACCTGCTACTGGACCCATGAAGACAGCGTTGCAGGCAGCCACATCTACAGCGCCATCAAGTCATCACCATGTGAATCGAATTCGGACCGAGTTGCGAAGTCGTCGAAGTGCCTTTCAACTCACTTCCTTCAGTCGTGGTGGCGCGAAGCACGCATACGCAACACAACACCTCACGGCCCTATAGTTTTTGATCGGTGAGCTTGGAACGTCAGCGCAAAGAACATAGTCTTCAACTACGTATTTAACACAATGCAAGAAGGTCAGAAAGTTGCAAGAGGATTGAGCGGGTGGTCACCTTTCAGGACTTTCCCTCTCTTGGATGTGTCCATGTTTGGTACCCACGACGAAATCTTTGTCGTACGGATTGCTCTTTTCTCGTCAAGTACTTGTACACCATGAATTCATCGTCAGCAAGTCTGTTCTCAACATTTTGATGGCTTACCTGTTGTTAGCCTTACCTGCTGTTCAAGCAGGTGGTCCCCGAGTCCCCAATGTGCTACTTGGCGATGGCCGCAAAGTGAAAGCATGAGGAAGCCAATACGACTTTGGAGCCGGGCGACGACATAATTGCTCTCCGCGTGGCAAGCGCATACTTTTACGCGGGACCACAATTTGTGCATGGCGTCACACTGTTCCTGGTGCTTTGCTGGAATTTGATAGCACGTTCAATTACAACCGCATCGGTAGGCTGGAGCATGTGACATGGGGAGGTAGTATTGCTACTAGCTGCTTGACTTAACGCATTGCTTTCCTCAAGTGATGCGCTCAAAATCGACCAATGTGGAGAGATGTGCTACCACGTCGTGTGTATGCCAGCCTCACATGCACTGATATCTGTCCGATGTTGATGTATTTCAATTTGAAAATGAATTTGTAGTAAATTGCAATGATTGCATGTAGTTTAGCAATATACCGGCCCACACGTCCTCCGCGATGTGCAGGAGTCAGCTCAACGCTTTTGTTCGGGGAAATTTGAAAGTGCAATTTTCGGTGTGGCTGACGAAGACATGTGTGCTCTACCTCGACGGAATACTGGCGTAGTCCTCTCAATCACAGAAATTGCGAGTCATTCGTTCCGAAAAGGTGTGAAATCCGAGCTAGAAAAATTGACCCGGCGGTCAACGGACGATGTCGATTTGATTTCGTGCCGGTTGGAGTTGAAGCAGTGTGCAAGGTCGGTATATCTACTAAGGTGCCGGTGGATGATCAATTCGTGTGACGAGCAGCATTATGAAATTCTCTATTAGAATGCATAGAAATAATTTTGGTAGGACTCTATGTTAACGACATCTCCTCTGCCGCCCATTCCACTCCATTCCATGGTACTCCTCTATTTGTAGTTTAGTGGGATCCATTTTGACTGGTTTTACAACGTTGTATTATACCTCATCTCTCTCATTCCATTCCTCCTGGCGTCGCTTGTATACTACTGCCAATGGATCAAGGCCACGCATGTCGACCATCCACTGCATGTCGCATCTGTCGACGAGCGGCACGATGCCGTCATTCGCCAAAACAAGTCCTCTTGATCCGGGCTCGTGGCATTTGGAATTCCACTACAAACTTCCTCGTCTCTGTCGAATCGGTAACCTCAATCGTCCAAACATCAATGCTCTTATTAACAAAATATAGAAAAAGTTCCAGAGAAAATCGGAAAAGAATTGCGCGAGCACATGCACACATGCACAGATCTTGCGGCGACTCAGTCACAATGATGTACTCAACAACTCATTCTGTGTGTTTGGCGATTCGATACTACGAAAAGCTGAATTGTAACATTACTGCGTGCAACGAATTCTTTGGCCGCGGAACCAGGCTCCCCAAACGATTTCCCCCGCAAAAGAATGGTGGGCTTACCCGCCCTGCAAAAGTCCATTTTTTGTGCCTTAAAGGAAAAGTGTTTGACGTACAGAACCCTCGGTGGGACGGGAACCGCAGTGGTTATTTCGTGCATGTACAGTACAACCAATGATATTACCTCAAGTGCAAAGAAATCCAATTTCTCTAAGGCCAAAAGGTGACCTTTTCCCTCCTAGCATGTAAATTTACAACCTTGTCTACGCAACAGATCATGTCCATGGACATACCCGGACAAATTGTATTGCGGCCGCTTGGCTACTTTGTACAAGCGCCTCCTTGGAATGACCAATGCACTGACGCCAGTATTAGACGCATTAGAGAAAAGTGCTATCACTCCATGTACCGCCTCATTAACGAGTAAAAAAGTAATACAGCGGTGCAAAAAATACATAGGACTTCGAAAATTTCCGATATCTCGTCTAAGACCGTGTTCGCGGAATAACACTGAATGAAATCCCAACACAACACGACATTATCCGGCCTTTTTATCCGGCGAGACACCACGTGCCAATAATCGTGTCCAGGGAACACTGAACTCTTTTCGACATTTAACTCTGCACGCCATGAAGTCGTTTGGTAACACATCATGTGATGCTGGTGGTGGTCCGTGTGTTGCTGGTGGTGGTTCGTGTGTTGCTGGTTGTGGTCCGTGTGTTGCTGGTGGTGGTCCGTGAGCTGCTGGTGGTGGTTCGTGTGTTGCTGGTGGTGGTTCGAGCGATGCTGTCCCTGGCCCGAGCGATACTGGCCCTAGCCCGTGTGATGCTGGAGCTCGCACGTGCGGTGATGGCAACGCCACAGCACAGGAAGACTCGATTGCTTTAATGACTGTTCTTGCTGCTGCTGTTGCTGCTGTTGGAGTGTGTGTTGCAACCATTTCTCGGATACCAAGTGCAGACAAGTACAATGTTTTAACAGTTAACGAGGTGGATTTTCAACGCATGCTTCACTTTGACAAGTACGAACAGTGGTTCCTCAAACAATTTGCGTTGCAATCAACAAACCTTTCACCACATTTGCAAGATTCTTCGAGCTCACATGCATGACTACAACCTGGATCTTTACACTAAAGCACATTCGTTTGAAAAGAAGTTTGCGGTGTATCTATACTTCATGGGATCCACTTTTGGATACCGAGAGGTTGGTGGAGTGTTTGGCATGTCAAAGTCGTGGTGTCAAAACATCGTGAGTTGCTTTTCGGCGTCCATAAGCTCGATGGCGTCTAAGTGGATACATCTTCCCCGCTCATCACTGGAATGGCGTCAAATTGAGAATGGGTTCTCTAGCTCAGGTGGAATGGCTGGAGTGGTAGGAGCAATTGATGAGACATTGATTGAGATCTTGCGTCCCCATCAGCACGAGGGGTTCTTCAATCGTCACGGCGACCCGTCATTGAACGTAAAAGCTATTGTCGACAGCAGGGGGTCATTCATGAGTGTTGAAATAAGACCGGGGGCCTTTTCAGACAAAAAGATGTGGAAACTGTCTGAAATTGGTAGCACATTTCGCACGAGGGCACTGAAAGGTTGCTATCTCATTGGCGACTCTGGCTATACTGTGTTTCCGTGGCTGCTTGTTCCGTACCTGCCTCATGAAGAGAGATCGGGGGCACTAAACCAACGACAGGCAAACTTCAACTACGTACTCT